ATGGTAGAGGATAATGTTGGAACTGCGGGAAGAAATGTCACTTCAATAAACACAGCAAATCTCCAAAGAAGGTTGGTGATTGAGGTTCAGATAGAAAACTCTCTACAAATGTCTCCACGGTAAAAATCCAATGTAACTCCCTTACTTTGTCCCTTAATAGTATTGAATCATGGATAATGGATTCAGATGCCTCTTTACATGCTTACATCAAGGTATTTAAAAATTATACTCATAGTGATCCATAGAAGAGTATTTGGGGAGATAACAGAGCCTATAGTTTTGTTGAAAAGCATGATGATGATATCAAGTTATCAAACGAATTAGTCTGAAAACTCAATGAAACTAGATATGTTTTATATTCGAAGAGAAATTTGATTTATGTGAGTCAGCTTGCAAGATCAAGGTAAGTGACTACATTTGTAAGTGAATCGTGGAATGTGACCAGAGAGAGCAATGATGATGATTTGAGGCAACATTGAATACACTCTTTACTTGATCAATAAAATGTTATATCCATTGGTGTAGTTGGAATAAAGGTTTATGAAGGTCTTTGGCCTCACTTATATAGCAAAGTATGAAATCCTCACTTTCTAAATATAAACTTCATGGCTTAAAATCCATAGAACTAAATATTTGTGAAGATTGCATTTATGGCCAGAAAAATAAGATAACTTTCTCTTAAAGTGAATCAAAAATGAAGTCTGAAAAATTATAATTAGTGCATACTAATGTATGGGTCTTCCTTCAGTTTGGTCCATTGGAGGTTTTCAAAACTTTGTTACCTTCATTAATGATCACACTAAGAAGATATAAGTATACTTCTCGAATTATGAATCTGATTCTTTGAAGTGTTTAAGAAATGAAAAATTGCGGTTGAGAATTAGACAAACTTGAAGTTGAAGTAGCTTGAATCAAACAATAGTGACGAATATCGCTATCTAAGGTTCAGAAGTTATTGTGCTTCAAGAGAGTTCGGGCAAATGTTAACTATCCCAAGGACACCACAAGAAAATAATGTTGTAAAACACATGAATAGAAGTATTGTGGAGCGTGCCAAGAATATGAGGTTGCATGCAAGTTTGTCAAAACAGTTTTGGGCAAAAACGGTGAACACAATGATTTATCTGATCAATTATGGTCCCTTAATACCTTTGAATAAGGGTTTACCTGAAAAAATCTAGAGTACCAAAGAGATAAATCTATCTCACCTAAAAGTATTTTGTTGTTCATCACATGTTCATGTTGATGCAAGATCATGAATAAACTTGATTCAAAATTTTACAAATACACTTTTATTTGTAATGACTCAAGAATTTGGGTATAATTTTTGGGACTATCAGAACATAAATTCATAAGAACCTGAGATGTTACTTTCAATTAAATGAATATGTACCAAAATATAAATAAAACCAAGGATTATTCATCAGTGACTTCTGAAGAGCGCTCCAAATATTTTGAGATAAAAGATAATGATGATCAATAAAATAGAGAAAGTAAAAGTATTCAATCTGATGAAGCATAAGAAGTTCCTTAGCTACCTGCTAAGAAATCAAAAAATCAACCAGAATCACACAATCGATACAGAGGTATTCTCCTTTTTTGTACTATCTATTGCTAATTGATAGTGGTGACCATAATGCATAAAGAGGTCACTCAAGTTTGTCATGAATGACGAGATTTAATCACTAAGCTCAAATCAGCTTTGGGATTTCACAAAACCCGATGATAAAAAGACATTGCACAATAAGTGGATTTAGAGGCTGAAAGAAGAGTCAGATTGTAGCAAGGATTATAAGGTGAGGCTTTTTAACTTTCAGCAAAAGAAAGTATTAGAGTACACTGAAATATTTTCTTCAATAGTAAAGATAACAACTATCAGAATTGTGTTGCGCTTGATAGCAGATAAAAATATACAACTGGAGCAGATGGTGTAAAGAAAACTTTCTTACATGGTGACTTAGAAGAGGAACTGTATATGACGCAACCACAATATCAAGTTCTAGTAAAAGAAGATATGGTTTGTAAACTAAAGAAGAGACTTTATGGGTTGAAGAATGCACCAAGACAATGGTACATAAGGTTTGAGAAGTTTTATGTCAGACAGTGGGAACATGAAGTGTTAAACAGATCATTATTGTATCATTAAATAACTTGATAATTGTTATATTATGATTTATTTGCATGTAGGTGACATGCTAATTGCAAGAGCAGATATGAAAAAGATCAGAAAATTGAAAGAGCAATTATCTAAAAAATTTAAAATGAAAAATTTATGTTCAACCAAGAAAATACCCAATCAGAATCAATAGGAACTCCAGTGCAGATACTTTGAAGTTGTCTCAGGTAGAATATGTTGAGAATGTCTTACACGGGTTCAACATGAGTAAGACAATACTAATGTGCAACCCCTTAGGTAGTCACTCTAAATTATATAAAGAATAATTGCTTAAGTCTGGAGTAGAGCAAACACAAGTGAAAAGAGCTTTGAATGCTTCAGCAGTTGAAAGCTTGATGTATACAATGATATGTATAAAGCCATACATATGCAGTGGGAGTGGTCAACCGATACCCAAGTAATCCAAGTAAACATCATTGGGAGGCGAAGAAGTAGATTCTTAGATATTTGATATGAACGGTCAACAAGGTTCTTTGCTTTGAAAATGAAGGAATGAAGTTATTGGTATATGTAAATTCAGATCTAGTAGGAGATATCGTGTTATATTTTCACTTTGGGGAACACAACAGTGAGTTGTGTTTTTTATACTGCAAAAGATTGTTGCACTATTAACTACAGAAACTAAGTATAATGTTATTAATGAGGCTAACCAAGAAATGATTTAGCTACAAAGCTTTTCTATCATAACTGGACAATAAACAAGAGAACAGAAAACTTCATTGATACAGTATAAGTTTCATTCATCTAGTTAAGAACATCAATTTCATGTCAAGACGAAACATTCAACTAAGATATCACTTCATTTGTTCACTCATAGAATATGGTCAATTATCTTTTAAGTGGATATATAGTTCATAATCCTGCATATATGTTAACTAAGTTTGTTACAAATGAGAAACTAAAGCAATTATTGACTTCAATTTAATTTTAGAAAGGTTGAGACCAATAGCCATAACATATATTACTATAAATTTGGTATAGATCAAGATGAGAGAAATTGTTATATGTGGGGCTTGATTGGGCTAGGAAGGGCACCAAAAACCCAAGGAGACGCCTTAGAGCCTGACAATTAGTGCCCAGACCCCCAGAGAGGTGTCTGGCAGCAAGCACCCAGCACCAGTGGGGGTGCCTAGGCACCCAGAAACAGTGCACCAAGAAACTTGGAACTTAGGAAGGGCTCTGTTGTGCCCAGAACGTTCACCCTGGGGGTAGGGCCTACGGTCCTGTAACCGAATTTATGCAGTTCGAGAATTTAGATTTTGTCTTTTACTGTGAGGTGTGTGTGAAATGTTTGTGTTGAAGGATTTTGAGATTTCCCTTGTGCAAAAGAGAGAGAGGAGAGACCCAAGTGTTCCAAGTTATGGAGGGGCTTGAGTATAGTGTAATCTGTACATTTCTTCACATTGAGTTTTAGTGTGGTGTGGCTCCATGGTTTTTTCCCATTCTGGAGTTTTTCCACACTAAATCTTGGTATCCTTGTGTTTTCTTACTTTGTGTGCTTTGTTCGAGCAGGTCTCTCGAATCGGTGTTCCACATCACAAAAAAAACAGAGCACTTGAAAACTCTGCGTCAGCCCCAGATGCCCCATATTGAAAAGTAGGCGCAAACCTTGCCCCTAGGCTCCTAGGTCCCCAACCCCGATTTCAGTCAATTTAATGTTGTTCAGGGACGATTGATGCAAGAGGAGTTAAAGCAGCAAATTCTTTTCACAAGGATTTTATCAGCCATCGTCTCACATGGGAGAGTTGGAGATCAACAAACACTCATCCGAAAGGATGACTGGAGAAGTGTTGTGTGTTATTTTCTTAATTAGAGTATGATTTAGAGAGTGACTATGAGAGAGTAGTGAGTGTGTTTTCTACATCATGAGTGTGTGAGAGAGTAAATCTAATGGAGATCATTGTGCAAAGAGGATTGAAGTGGAGCAAATTGAGATTTCTATCGGCTTAGATTGTTCATGTTTGTATAATACTTTCAATTTGGTTTTTCAATAAAAATTGTACGGTTTTCTCTCAACATGTTCTTCTTTGAATTGGATGTGTGATTAATCGTATTATATCTACGAGAATTAAGACTTTACAAGATTTCATTACATGTTGGTGTGTTATTTTTTTAATCTTAATTTAATTTTGATCTTGCAATTGAAATGTTAAAACCCCTCGCGATCTAATTTACTGACCATAGGCTAGAAGAACAAGTAAAATAACGCCCAATCATTTGGTGAAAAATGAATAATATCAGTAGAAAATTGCAATTGTATAGGGGACTAGATGATTCCTGAGAGACTTTGCAGGGTAAAACAAATAAGAGGCTCCAATGCTTTTTATGTCTAGAAATAGAGCAACGAACAACTTTCCCTGATTATCAACATTAGTAAAGTTAAACATGGCAAAAATGAGAATATTGAGATAGATGCGTAGAAAACTTATAAATAATATATTAATAAAAGATTATATAATTAAAAGGCAATGGAACTATCATATATTGAAGATAAGGCAATCAAAAAGAAACAAAGTAGTTTTAACATATACTACGAATGGTAGAATGCGCTAACAAGATGTAGTATCAGTTTCAAATAGTAGGGAGAAAAAGGTGTAAACCAAAGATTTATGTATAAAGTTTGTGTAAAAAGAATTGTGTTGTACAAGTTTGAAAATAATTTCCAATGGATCAACACTAAACATGAAGGAATGGAAGATAAGACCATAAATATACCCCAAATAGTTAGAATGATGGTAATGATGATGATGAACCTCCAAATAATTACTAAGAAAAAACTTAAAGAGTTGTACACCTAAAGATAAAGAAATTACATAATGCAAACCTCTTCTGTCAGCCAATGGAGAGTATCCCAATCAATCTCTTCTCTGACGAAAGCCTCCTCATATCGGCACAAATCCAATGCCCTTAGCCACTCAATGACAGGGTTAGTATCAACAATCTGGTTACATGCATTAGGTTTTGTTTGACCAATAGGAATAGATACCTGCGATGAACATATAGCTTTATTGCTAGTAAAAACCAATGATACAAGGTTTATGATTGTTTCCATTTTTCTTTCACTGCAAAATAAAGGTAGCAATGAGAAATATAACTTTCAGTATTAAAAGAAGTTCAAAAACCATAAATATAACCCTCTTTCATGAAGATTCAAAATTCTCAAAAGAACTAAACAATTAACTTTAGCTTAAACAATGTGGGCTAGAATATAGACAAACAAGGATAAACAACTGTCATATATAGAGGTACTTTAACATGGTAAACAACTATGGAAGTAAAAGTAAAGTACCAAGTGGAATTACGGAACTTTCAATCTTACATAATATAGATAAGCTAAACAAGCTGAGAGCATAAACTATAATCCATTCAGAAATCATCATTCACATATGAATATTTGAGGAGAGTTGGGAGTATACTTGTTTTCCAAAAAAGGAATCCAGATTCAACTAATTGCCTATATATAATAGTTTTGTTATTTGATTGTTATCTATGAATGGTTTGAATTTCTTTTATTCTAACTACTCTATAAATCTTCATGTAGAGATTTGCAAATGATTAAGTGCAACCTCAATTTTTACTATTCTTTTTTTCTCTCTGTAGTGTTTTTCATCTTCTGCTTCATGGTCAGTTTCAAAGTGTGTGTCAGAGTTATTGTTGTTGTGAAATCTAGATATACCAATTGACATGATATATATATATAAATCAAACAGGAGAACGATCGACGAAGTGAAAAATAGAACGAAAAAAATCACACCAGAAAAGAACAACACAGCGGAACACACAGATTTACGTGGTTCGGCAAATTGTCACGTCCACGGAGTTACAGAAGATTTTACTATTTGAGGAATTTACACCACACTTCAATTTACAAGAAGAATCTCTCACTCTTTGTTGCTCTCTCTCTTCTTCTCTCTCTATACCGAGATACATCGAAAAAAACTCTACACCGAGATACACCGAAGAAGACAAACTTACAAGAGAAATAAACTTAATTTCTCTTCTGCCACAAGCCACCGAGAAGAAGCCTAGGGAGAACAAACTTTTTCTTCTTCCTTCTTCTTCCTTCTGCTGCAAGGAACTGCTCCTCATTGCGCTTTTCTTCCTCTGCCCCGAGGAAACCTTCCTCTATCCCGAGAAAATCCCGAGAAAATTCAAAGCGTGACTACAAAACCCAATGAGAGTCATCCGAAGCTTTTATCACGAACAGGAGAAAGCGAAGAGATGCTTCACTTCACAAGCGAAGAGATGCTTCACTTCACATTCACAAAAGAGGAAGTTGGGAGTGGTTATTTGTGAAGAGGTGTGACTCTCCAAAGCAAAGTAACCGCCCAAGCATAATGGACCAGGCTCCATCGTTTCTAACAAGAGTCCGTAGCTAACTAAGAATAGAAGATGCAAAAAACATCTTTAGCTTGTGAGTGCAAGGATGCCAATTTAAAAAGTTATCTCCAAAAGCCTCTCAGCCAATCCCAACTAGTTCACCAGCTGCAAAGATATCAACCTTCACTGAAACTTACTACCTCCGCATCACAACCATAAAATTGAATAATCATAATTTAATTCAAGAGCATCATTCTGCTTTAAATGTGGGGAGAGCGCAAGGCCATCTTGAATATACTGATGCTTCCACCCCAAAAAAAAAGATAAAAAGTAAAAAAACAAATGTTGATGATCCCCCTCCTCTAATTTGGGATGTACAAAACTCGATGATCACGACAAGAACTGTGAATTCAACAGAAAGCATCAAAATATCTTACATTATTCCATTGATAAAGAGATGTAAGATGCATTAACTCTAAGCCTTCTCAAATATGGAAAAATCAGCACAACGTTTTGACCTCCTGAACAGTGTAAGTTCGAACAAGAAGAGCTAAATTTCACCAGATATTTAAATATGGCAGGAAATAGATGTGGTTGTTTGCACTGAGTAGTCATGCCCGGCAAATGCTGTAAAATACAAAAAAGCGGATTGAAAAGTGATGTGTTTGAGCTTTTGCATGTTTGAACTCTAATCCTAATGAAGTTAGATAACTCCTTAGAATTAAGCCACTCACGGTGATTACTGATATTTTTGCTTAAGCTTGAAGAGAAGCAAGCTAGTAATGGGTCATGATAAGAAAATCCAAATTATTGCCGCCTGAAATTTCTGCATTAAAAATATGTCGTCAATAACGTTCAAGGAACCCAAGAAGATATTATTATTTGATGAGATTTCTACAAAATAAGTAAATCATACCAAAAACAGTTGCTAGAAGAAACATAGTAAGCCATAAAATTTAGAAGACAGCGGGACTAGAAATTGAGACTCCTTTGGATTCCAAAACTTGATTGAGTATTCTTAACCAACCCAATCTACAAGGAGGCACGCATATATCTCTCGCCAAGGCATATAATGGCACCCATACAAACTACATGCACCATCACAAGCAACCACAAACACTTAGTTACAAGCCAATGCATGCGTCTGTTTAACTAGCTTTAATTATTTAGAAAATTCATCCTAAGAAATGCCAAACAACGATGTCATAATCCTTATAACAGAATATTTCAAATTCTATTTCTTCATAGTATTTCTAATCTATTAGTTGGGAGAATTATGGATAAATTCATCAAGGGTCATTAATAAAACATATATTGATAACAAAATAACCTACAAACAAATAATGACAGCTTAAAAATCTTCAAACCTAAAAAAATATTCAAATAAAGTATTCTTACTATGTTTAAAGTGCATAAATAGGTCATGCAGTTAATCTATATAACATAACATAATAAATATTATTATTTAAATTTATTTTTCACCTGATGCTTTCAGATCAAGCAGATTTTATTTTAACAACATGATGTCAGCAAAATATTTGAATAAATTCAGCTAATTTTATTTTAGACAAATCAGTTCTTCAAATTTTGACATTGCACCTTTCAAAATGTCCCTCTAAGCTATCTATCCAATTCTAAGAAAATTACAAGATTATGCCTTTCATCAAATGTCAAAATAATATGTGTAATTCTTTATAATTGTTTGGAATCATTCAAAAATTGATTTCATTTAAATTTCATAGTTTGGTTTCTTTTTCTAACCAATCAAGATATTAAGTACTACTTGTAAAAGATATTGATGGAATAACAGCCAATACTAAATCATATGTTAAATGTAGTAGGGTCTAAGATGTTTAATAATACTAATGCAATAAGTAAGCAAAACTCATAGCAACAAGCCATTATTTAAAAAAGTATGTAAAAATGTCATACAATAACAGCAAGCCTTTATCCCACTAATGATAATAATAAATAATAAAATCCTATTCAAGAAAAAATCTATGGCATTCTATTAGAGATTACAACTGCTAAATTAAGAATCTCAAAGACTTCCAAACAATTAAAATTTTGTGAAGTCAAAAGAAATATTGTAACAAATATGATTAAACCTTACCTCACTTTCAACCAGTAACGGACTATATTGAAGAAAAAATAAGAAAGAGAATGGACTAGGTTGAAGAAAAATAAGAAAGAGTAAAAGAATGTAAAAATTAAAAAGAAAAAGATAGAAGGAAAATGAGCATGTTTACAAGGGAAAATGGGAGAGGATGAGGACTTAATCCATCAAGGGAGAGTTTCATATAATATGATTATATAATGGAGGGGCATTTAAGTTTTGAATTCAAAGTTTGTTCTGCATGTATTGCAAAGATTGAAAGGAAGAGGGTGAGGACTTCTAGGACTTGTAAGCCATAACCCAAATGAATCTATATGATTTGGATACCAAAGGGTGTGGAAGCAAAAGCAATTATCTTTGTTGTATACAGAAAAATTTGTGGTGATAGAGTAGTGATTTATCGTCTTAGCATTATACGAAAATTCAGCTCACACGTTGATAAGAAAATATACAGCGAAGGGAGATCCCAATTTTTTTATGTGGAAAAACCCTAAAAAGAAAAAAAAAACATAGGGTCTAGCTCAATCCAAATAATCGACTATATGTTAGTCAGTGAGGGAGTATGTCCTTCTCTTAGGACGGGGATAACAGGGTTGCAAGCTTATACTAAAAACTACACTTATCTTTATATAGTTTAAAAAATACTAGTATTAGAAATTTCAACAATAGTCGTAGTCTAGCTACAACAGTTGCAATCAATGGTCGTCGACAATCTGTGGTTGATGGCGGTAAAGGGCGACGGCAGGTAGTGGTCGGCGGTGGCCGAGTGCTAAGTCAGTGCTCGATGGTGGTAGGTAACTACAGATTTCAATGGTTGCTCGACGAGTCTTCTCTCCAGAACAGACTCAAAAATTTCAATTCTCATTCCCTTCTTCTCCTCCGAGTGAGAGAGAGAATCAATTTATAATTTTTTTGGAAGGAGCATTTTGGTCTTTTGGCACATAACTTCTATAACCACTTGATCAAACAGTTCATATTGATCCCCCTTGATCATAGGTGATTTTTAATGCCTTAATGATCTCAGAATTAAGCGATCTAGAGCTCGTTGGATTTCACTCATTGAAACGCTTAATTTGACTGTAAATATGTCAAATTTAAAGTTCATTTGATCATTAAATTGATGATTCAAATCCTCCAATTGTGCTTCAACGGCTTAATCTAAGCTTGATTGGACCCGGATTGAATAAAATTTAAGGTCGTTGGGTTCTAGCCGAGAAGCACGCTCAGTTTGATTATAAATTTGAAGAATTCGGATCTTCGATGATCATGAATTTGAATTTTAAAAAGTTCTTATCAAAAATGCATCAAGATTGTGCCTGCTCATAAAAATTTGTTGATTGCACATCAAACTTGGTATTCTTGTTGTTGGATTTAGAAAGAAAGGAAAAGCCCAAGAAAACGAGGGACCAAGAAGGGAGAGATATGATTGGCCAAGGTGAGAAGATGAAGGTGCTAGAAGAACAAAGGCTACGATTTTGGGATTGCATCCATATACAGAGTTTCATATTCATCATGGACAGCAATAATCACCATTATACAAGACTAAAACCCATTATAAAAAAATATTAAAGTATTCTTGACAAGAAACAGAATAAATTATTTTCTTTATTACATGAAACATCATGAATAAAAATAAGCATGCCAAGAACATAAGCAAACATACTGTCACAGAGATCTGATCGAAGAGGAATCAACGGGCCTAATGGTTTTGGTCATTGTTTCAAGTGAAAGAAAACTTTACCTCATTCATGCCATCCTTATCTAGGCAATCATTTGTATGAATCTGTCGCATCTCTTCACTCAATTTTGTGATATCAGTTTGGCATAATGGGCATTGGAGCAATAAATTCCTTTCTATTGGAACTGACTCTGTGCCTAAATTAAATTCTTCAACTGTTGACATTCTACTGACAGAATCCCCTTGTTCGCCCATCTCGCAGCAGAGGTCCATCAACATATTTAACTGGGTTCCTGGTTCAAGTTCATCACTGACATCCACTTCTTCACTACTCCTAGTGTCTGTATAAGGAACTAACTTTCTACTTGAGCCAAGAAGTTTAGCTTCAACAGACATGGCATGATGATTTCTATTTTTCTTGTCCAATAGAACAATCCCTGCTAGGCAACTTTGAGGACTCGCATATTGCATCCCTCCAATTGGACCCCTCTCATGTACCTTTGGATCAATAAATTGTTTGCTCAACTTCAATTCCTCAGAACCATGTATTCCCGAAGGATCATCTCTGCATCCAGACAAGACTGACTTCTCTTTTGATTCCAAAAGCCTTGCTTCAGATGAAATTTTCCTCCGGTCTTCTGCATGATTTGAAATCAGACCTTCCATCTCTCTCCTTGGCCAATCTTCAGCTAGTCCTAGCTCCGTTGATGCGAGGCAGGCAACTCCCTCTTCGGCCTCATTACAGACACTGCATTCGTGAGCAGATTCTGTCTCCCACACAGCCACTGGCTTTTCCCCATCACAATAACTTCTTAGATTTGGACTAAGTTCATCAAAAGATGTGCATACATTAGAACAATCGAAGTCAGAGTTGGAAGAATCACTCACCGCAGATTTCAAAAGGGTTGATTCAACGGACTCCAAGCACGGACTTCCTCTCCCAAACCGCCCTTCTTCACATGGCCAACCATCCACAAACCTCGGTACATCTGATGCTGATAAATTCGATTTCAGATCCTCAAGTCCATCCTCCTCAACGCATCCCACAGTAAAATCAATGTTCCCTAAACCAACTGGAACAATCTTGTGGTAAAGCTCCGCCTTTCGTTTGCTCACTGGATTTTTTTCCTTTCTTTCTTTCAAAACCCTCGAATCCGAAGTTCGGTTCCTGAGCATACTGTCATTCTCCTTTCCATTTGCAGCAGAGGGCCTCCGTCTCTTCCGAGCACGGTAGCCATTGGAGGGCTTCAAGGGCTGAGAAAGCCTGCTTTTGAGGGAGGAGAGCATGAAACTCTGGCTGAGGATGGATTGGCTTGGATTCTGGAAGTCGTCATCGTCGCCGCCGCCGTCCCTTCCGGACATCGCAAGGCTTAGCGCATGGAGGTTCTCATCCGCTGACCTAGGGTTTTTTGTCAGATTGAAATTCGGCGGCACCATGGAGCGGGGGGTCTCCTGGTTGAGCCGGAGTGATGATCGTTTGCCTCGACTGTGAGCTTGTTAGCTCCCCGCGTTAGCTCCCTGCTGCTTGGATTTTGTTCGGATTAGTTCAAAATAGATCAGTCGATCGGGGCGTAGATCTACGATGTGCAATGCACGGGAAAGCGTCACTTGAATTTAATTCCCGCCAAAATGATTTTGTAGTTTGATTATGACACCTAGTTCGGATTAGTTCAAAATAGATCAGTCGATCGGGGTGTAGATCTACGATGTGCAATGCACGGGGAAAGCGTCACTTGAATTTAATTCCCGCCAAATTGATTTTGTAGTTTGATTATGCCACCTAGGGTCCCTATCCGGGAAAAATATTACATCAATACCCCGTACTCCAAGCGTAGCTACAATCCGATTCCAACGGTTAGGAATATCTCGTTGTGTTATAGGAATAATCCGAGGTCCCTATCCGGGAAAAATATTACATCAATACCCCACACTCCAAGCGTAGTTACAATCCGATTACAATGGTTAAGAATATCTCGCTGTGTTATAGAAATAATTCGTCTGTGTTCTTTATAAAAATTAAAGTGTTATTCGAGTATTATATGTTATTATTTGATTATTTTACGGTGTTATTAGATATTCTCTAGTGTTACTTAATTTGGGGTTGAAGTGCTGTTATTTGATTATTTTACGGTGTTATTAGAATATTCTCTAGCGTTACTTAATTTGGGGTTGAAGTGTTATTGAAATATTCTCTCGCGTTACTTGATTTGGGTTGTGTTATTCTAGTAATATAGTGAAAATTGAAATAACACTGGAAATATGTCAAATAACACAGCCTCAAATCAAGTAACACGACGGAATATTTCAATAAGACCGCAAAATAATTGAATAACATCATATAATACTCGAATAATATTTCACTTTTTACAAATAACGCAGATGGAATATTCTTGTAACACAATGACATATTTATAACCATTGCAATCCAAATGTAGCTCTACGTTCAGAGTCCTGATGTAATATTATTCCCCCTATTAGTGGGACTGATTTTTTTTTCGACGTGGCCTCAGGCCATAAATTTTTTTTTTTTTGTTTGAAATAAAAGGTGGCGGGGTGGGGAAGGCGGAATGCGGGCCCGCAAGTTCGACCCTACGGCCTGCATCCTCGAGAGAATATTACCAGCTTTGCCCCCGAACATCGTCTTTACCCTCCAAGCTTCTACCATAGCTTCTCGCGATTAGATTCATGGCTTCATCGACTCTTGTACCTCCTGCCCGAACGTCTCGCATCTCTCATCGATTGGCATTAGCAATACCAACTTTAATTAATGCATTGATTTGCATTAGCATTATTCTCCAAAACATTTCTTACTTGTTTGGTTTGTTCTAAATGGGGGCATCAAGTTTATTAATTTCTTATTAAAAAAAAAAACATTTAGGCTAATTTCAATGTTAAAATCAAAATCGTTATCCTCTTAGTTACGACAATACCATAGCTTACAATCTCAATCCTAAATTGTCCTGTGATGGATTTTTTATTTTCTTTATTCATCAAACTCGTTCTCGATCAATTGCTTGTCTGCGATTTGCTTGTCCGTGATTTCTATATTTCTATTGTTAGCAAAAACACGACTCCATAATATAAATCCCTTAACAATAATTTGGAGTGAGAGCAGAAAACTATTTCATTTTATGATCTCCAGCTATGTTATCATTCTTCAAAGCATTAAGAGTGAAAATGGAAATGGTAAAGTTCTATGACTTTGTTCTTTCTCATTTTTTCTTATTTGTTCATGGCTAATTTAGATTATCCAAATTTGGAACCATCTTTTGATAGCCCAATTATAAATGGACTTTTACTTCCATTCATAGGTCATAATAATTCATGCTCAACATATCGTTTGGTTCTCTCATTTTCATGTTTTTTATTTAATTCAATATAGATTAAAACTTCAAGTAGTGGGTTAGTTTATTAAAGCCTAATAAATACACTTCCATTTTATTTCAATTAAATTCAAAAATATTAACTACATTTCTAATCATTCTAATAAAAAATTATCAAAATTTTTTTGGGCTATTGGTGTACCATTAGGATTTAATTCAAATTGAGGGGGCTTAAAAAATGATTGTTAAATCTTGCTATAACTGAATTAATTAGTTGAAAAGTTGAGTTTAAATTAATCAATTGTGAAAGGATGGTGCTAAATTTAGATTTAATATAATTTTGATCGAATCAGCAATTAACGGATATGGGATTTATTGAAGTAGAAAATTTTAAAATCTTAAAAAAATCTATTTTATGATATTTAAGTTAATAATGTTTTCTTAAAACAAGAGATCAAATGACATCTTAGGAAAAATGAGCTATAGTTAACTCGAAAACTATACTTCTCATAGTACTTCATAGTTCCTCATAACAAAATAAAAAAGAAGTGTCTTCTCAACAAAACTCTCTCTCTCTCTCTCATATAAAATCTAAAATAGTTTTTAAATTGAACATAATTAAGCAATAACATATTCAAATATAGAAAATTGAGTAAGTAATGAATTAAAGATGAGCTTATTACCAAGTAGAGCACTATCTTAAACACACCACAAAATAATATTTTGGGGGCCATTACATACCAGCCAATTCCTATGCATTTACATATCATACACCCAAACTAGACTTTTTATATTTATACCACCCAAAACTTTCTTACCACATGTATCAAAAAAGCTACTACCATTTTTTACTTTTGAAAAGTGATATAGGCACCTTTCCACGTATAGATAAGATAGCATGTATATAAAGATTGGAGTTTAGGTGTTAGATACTTAAATACATAGAAACTGTGTGATATCTAAGTAAATCTTCCTAGTTCTTTTGACTCATATGCAACGCAGCTGGTCAGCAAGATAGTGCTCCAATATTATATCATATAATAATATTTAATTTAAATATCATATTTGAAATATAGTACAACAACAACAATAACAACAGGAAGCATTTATCCCATTAAGCAGGGTCTGGTGCATGAATCATTTTTCTCCATTGCTTTCTATTGAGTTTCATATTTCATTTAATTCCAATAGACTAAGTTTATTTTATATACAATATACCCAAGCCTTTTAGGTCTAGTTTTGCATTTCTTAACATCAGTTGAATCTAAAACATTCACTCTCTTGGTCAGTTCATCATCAGATGGTCATCGTTTAATGTGTCATGTCCATCTTAAACAACTCTTTCTCTAATCTTTTCCGCTGTAGGAGCTACATCAACCCTATCAAGGATATATTTATATCACATTTTGTCTCTAAATGTCAAGTCACTCATCCATCTAAGTATTTTCATCCAGCAACACCTACTTTATTTTATGTTTCTATTTTAAAGACCAACATTCTGAGCCATAAAACATCGCAGGTCTCACCATCATCTTATAAAATTTTTCTTTCAATCTAAAAAGTATTTTTTTATCACACAATAGTTCTGATGCATTCCTCCACTTCAACCAACCAACTTGACTTCCCCATCTATATCACCATCACTCTGAACAACAGAGCCAAGACATCCAAAACGTTCGCACATTTTAATAATATGATCATCCGTAGCTACAACTCTGCCCCTAAAATTATATTTCATATATTAAATTTTAGTTCTACTCAAAGGAAAACATTTATTTCAATATAGACCTTAGTATTTCAATTTTTTCTTGAATTACTTTTTTTAGTTGTATCCAAATGAAACCAAAAACGAGTATTTCTGGGGACTGCGCCGTAATTTCGGGCATGCACATCACATGTTGCAGGAATGTTAGCGTACCTTCCCTGGCTTTTTCCTCTTCGTGCAAGTTAGAATGGAAGTCTAAAAGGGCCGCAGTTTTTTTCGTGGAAGCAACCTCGCATTAACTCGATAGGCCACGTTGAAGGCATGCATGCTGCCTCTTGCATAAGAGTTTGAGCAGCTGTTTATCTCACGAATTTAGGTATCTAATATTTAAATTTAAATTTTTACATTTTTAACATTCAAATATTTCATATCACCTTAAAAATATTACTATTAGTAATTTTTTTAAAGTCGGATACACTTTTATCATGCAATATAAAGTGGTAGTAATGTAAATTTTAAATACATAAGAATGGTGTGGCCATGTATGTAAATCTTCCAAAGAGCAGAAGAAGACCATTGTGATTTGTCTTGTCAAAAGGTCATATTTATAAATTCATTTTAATTTTGAGCTCTTTGAAAAATTTGGTGATTTCAATCAAATGTTTCAAAGATTAGAAATTATAGTAAAGAATTAGAAGAAGTGAATATTGATGTGAATTATAAAGAATTATCTTTCTTCAAATCGACAGAAGATATTGCGATTGTACAAGTTGTAAATTTGTTATTGCTAGAAACATAATAAAGGTTGATGAATGATATGGCAGGATGTGAAGATTCTAGCCAAAATTTTTTAGGGATGGTGACCTCACATAATCGCTCAGTCCTTCATTGATGGTAAATCAAGGAATGATTAAAATAAAAAAATTCACATACATACCAGACAATTCTTACGTATTTATATATCCATTGAATTCTTTAGAGATAGGGGATCCCGTGTCGTCCGTGAATACATAAAATCAGAAAAGATCCATTAATATATAAATGACGATAGAAAAAGTATGAGAGATAGATAGATAAAATACACCCATTTTCTTTGATTATCCCAATAATGCTTATTCTTGGTGAAAATTTTTTCCTCTCGGTGTAGGTACTCATTCATCTCTAACAAGAGCAGGAGTGAGAGGTCCCTTAAAAATCGACGGGAGAGAAAAAAAGAGAAAGAGAGAGACAGATGAAGAGGGGGTACCTATCGGCCGAGTTAAAAGTCCTTCCCTTTCAACCCTCCTCCTTTTTATACACGATATCTTTAGGCACTTTTAATATGAATGAAATGTACAGCCATCGAAATTGTCAGATTGTCAGAGATAAATGGTACAGTCATCCCTAGTATCACCAAGGGACGAAGATCATCGAATCCTTAAAGGCATCTTTAATGAAGGCTTTCAGACATCGTTGGTACGGCCATTGCCACTAGGCCGATGAAAGAACCACGCCTTAATTGC